AAATTTGAACTAAATAGAAAAAAATGATAATAATATCAAGAAAAAGAAATAAAAAATCAAAGAAATAAATCCCAAAAAAAAAAAAAACCTTATAGATATTAGGATCCATTATTAGTGCAAACTTGAACTAGCAAATAAAATTGAATGGGAAGCAGTCAACACAAAATGAAAGGCTATAATCCTTGTGCTTTTGCAATGAACATCGAAAATGCAAAAAAACACATGGAGGATTGCTATTTCGGTGCTGAAATCTTAGGGAAGCAAAGAAACCCAAAACACCAAAAGCTAGCTTAAACGCAGAATTGACTTTTCCTTTAGATGATTGACGGTAAAATTGACCAAATTTTGGAAAAACCAATCAAACATAGAAGTGGAAATAATTGAGCATAAACATGGCAAGATGAAGAAAACATCTTAAGGCAAAAGACATGGAAGAGTAAAGCGACCAATAGGGCAAATTCTAAGAGAAAAAGGGAGAAAGAAAGAAAAAAGAGCAAAAAAGCTAAAACAAATGTTGTGAGAAAGGGAGATGTAGCAAATAAAAGACAGGGAGAGTAAAAGGACCATAAAGCTAGATTCCAAGAGAGAGGGAGAAAGAAAGAATAGAGAGTAGAACAAGAAAGGAAATAGTGAGAGGGGGAAGTACTATAGCAATTGTGAGGGGAGTGTTTCTGCCATTAACTATTTTAGATTGTGTTACTTTGTTTATTGTATTTGTCTAAAGTGCTCTCATACTTTGATTTTTACCTATTTATTTGATATTTTAAAAGAAATTTTGATTCTTTTTAAATATTAATTTTTCACAAATTTTTAAGATTCAAATGAAAATTTAAAATTTTTGAGCTTTACCGTGTTGTGGAAATTAATGCGGAAAAAGTTTCAAAGAAAAATTGAGATTAAAATTACCGTGTTGTAGGGACCTTATGTAATGCACGAAACATTTGAGGACCTAATTGACGGATACGAAAGACATACGAATAAAATTAAGGGAGATTTCCAAGCTTAAACGGCGTCGTTTTGATGCTTCCCGTTCCGCGCTCCATTCGTCTACATCTCCCCTTTCCCGCTACCGTGAGCACACCTTCAGACAAGAGCAGACCCCGCACCATGTAGAAGGAGTAACCCGACAACTCCGTGCAAGTCAGCGGCAGAAGCATGCTCTTCCGACCAGCCCCCAATTTCTTTGCTGCCCAGTCCGTATTTCTTTCTGCAGGTATGGAGTCAATTTTTGGCCAAATTTTCGCAAGGGCCATGATGAATCAAGGGAAATTGGACGGTGAAGATTAGAGTAGTCTAGGGTTTTGGTCGGGATTTTGTATAAATAGGCTGGCTTTTTTTTTTTTTTTTGGCTGTTTTTTTTTTAAGCCCCTTTTTTTCAGGAAGAAGTTTTTCTATGGTTAAATGCTTTTTTTTTTTTTTTTCTGAGGAGGGAGGTTCCAGAGTTCTAGCTCCTCGGGAGGTGTAGGCGGCAGTGAAGAGAATTTGTCATTCCATTGAAGTTTTTGCTTCCTTGAGCAAATTTTCAGGTATGATCTTGTATTCCTTTTTGCTTATCTCGTGTAATTCCTCTCTTGGAATTGAAATGAAATTTGGGATTGTAGCTTGAGATTGCTGTTTCTTTCATAATCTGGAATCTCCTCTTGCTTGTGACTTTCTGAAAATTTTCTGTTGAATTTACCAAGTTACAGGACCAACCCAACATTGGATTTCCTTGACTTGGGAACCTTGCTTTATTTTGTTTTTCAATGATAGAGGCTTGGAACTTGTGGTATGTTCTATGCATCTGATTTGGTGCAGTATTTTTTTTACTGGATTCTCCTCTTTAGTCCTTGAAAATGACTTGTCTGATGGTATTCTTTTATTTGTTGGCTTTCTGAACTTTAGTCATGAAATCCTTTGCAGCAATATGATTTTGTTTGTGATCTTTTCTATTTGAGTCTAAGTGTCATTGTTTACTATTGGGGTTCTTCTCATCTCAGTTTAATTTTGCCTTTTCTCTGGGTATTATTTGTGCAAGGAAAGTGTCAACGAGTTCTGTTTCTGCTTTGTCATTCTGATACTTAAAATTGCACCAATGAGAGCACATAGAGTTGTTTAGTATTTGAAAGAGACATGATTTTATGGTGATTTTATTGGATTTAATTGGGATGGGATTAATCTCTGAGAAAGACAAACTTGATTCTCATGGTGAAAAACTTGAGAAAAGGCTTGTTCTAGTTTAGTAACTTGGTTAAATCTGTACTTCTAGAGATATCCTCTCACATAAACATTTACCACATTTGCTTTTGTTAAGTTTGTTCAACTTTTTCTTTTTCCCTCCATTTTTAAAACTGACAATTTTAGTTATTGCCATTTTAAGAAGCATGCGTTGTTTTATTTTTACATGAGAAAGTTCATTTGCTTAGCTATTACAAAGATTTTAAACTGAGTCTCTGAACTTGACCCAGGAATCAAGCATTTGAAGTTAGTATTGACTCTATTAAGTGCTTGTTAAACTCAGCATGCATTCCTCCCACATTGTTTTGCTTTGTAATATTTTTGCATCCACAGACGTTAAATTTTATAACCGTGTGCTTTCTCTGTAGCTAACAACCTAGGCGTGGATGCCATATTTGTGTACACAAAGTTCGGACATTTGGCACCACTCGTCTCAAAACTGTCCGTATCCACCCATATTTGCCTTCACTAGTGACAATGACTCCCGGCTGGCTTTAAATCTGTAATGGGGGGGTTATTCCCTTGCTTGTTGATCTTTCAGATGATATGGAAGGCAACATCTCAAGAACCATGGATCTTATGAAAACAAAGGAAATGGTGAAACCTCGAGATGTTGTTTTGGTGGTTTCAGACTCAACTCCAACCATCCTAAATCCGACTGCTTTCCAGGCAATCTAGGTCAGGAAGGTTGACTAGCATTCTCCATGAGAGGCAAGTTGATGTTGATGAGTCCAGAAGGTAAAGGAAGAATCTTTATGCTTTTCCTACCCATTTGTTTGATATTTGATGACAATTGACCATTTATACTGTTGAAAATGTATTGCATAAATTGTGCTTGGTTGCTATATATGATCATGTTTAGATTCAAATGCTTTTGTTAGAGTGATAGATGATCATGCTATCAGGTATACACAATGAGAGCAGGAGATACATGATGAGTCACTACAAGAAAAAAGCTTATTATCTGCATTTGTTAAGGGATTTACCTGCATTTTAAATGCAGGTAAAAAAGTTACTAGCATTTGCATAAATGCCACACAAATGCTGGCACAAGTGGAGCCGGTAAAACCACACCTGCATTTTATGGAAATGCTGGTATAAACTTCTTTTCCCCTGCATTTACTAAAAATGCAAGGAAATCACATTAAAAAATGCAGGTGATGTCCATGGAAAAGTCTCAAATAGCTATTGTTTTTACTTGCACCTTTTGTCATACGCAGGGCCTCTTTTTTTTTTTTTGTCATTTTGGTTAGCAGCATTTTCAAGTAAACGCAGGAAAAGTGTTTTTTTTTTTTTTCTCACTATTTTTTGCCACCAAAACACTATCTATTTGTTGACAAAACCATTGAGGATCAAGCACAATTAATCAAACCAAATATGACATCAATTAATCAAAAATCTACACAAAATTGACATTATTAAATGCCTAATTTTCTTCATATCTAGAGAAAATATAACAATAATATTCAATTGTTTAAATCCCAAAAACAGAATACACCAAATGCTATCCCCAAAAAATGATAGAAAATGATATCCAAATAGCATACAACCAATGTCTAAGAGTATCCAAAAGCTTGAGTTGACATATTCAAACACAAAATAACTAAAAAATGACATTTTTGCTACTAACAATTAAAGTCACTACAGCCTTGAAATTTTTATATACAAATACTTTACATTGCTGCCACCAGTAGCATCATTACTCTAAGATGCATATGGAAAGGTTGGCACTCCTTGTTGACCCTAAAATGCAAACAGGATACATTTTGGCACAAGCAGGATTAGTTTGACAAAGCACTACTTTGAAACTCCTGTAACACTCTAGAAGGCTAAATGAAAAGGTTATGGTGCTCCACTTGAATGGCATAAGCAGGATTAGTTTCCCACATTAAACATGATAGCTAATTTGTCTAATTATGAAATCAATAACTAAAAATTTGACAACATAGTACAAATCATTAACTATCATTACTGCTTCAATTTATAACATCAAATTCCTACCCCAGAAACAAGTTGCAGAAAACCCCCCCTATATCTAAAAGCTTCCTCCATTGCTAAAATGTTAGACAGCAAACAAGAACATAAATTAATGAAGTTTATTTTATACCCATTGTAATCACACTTTTAACTCATACATTCTAGAAGATATATTACTATGTTTTCTGCAAAAATTATTAGCAATATGAACGAAATCAGTTAAACTATGTTTTAACTTTTAATAGGTGATAACAGGGAACTGCTTTAAAACTGATTCCCACCCTCAAAGTAATCAGAGGAAAAAAAGATGATGATGATGATGATTATAAATAGCCAAAACAAAAGAAAAAAGAAAAGATATCTACGAGTAACGTCTCATTGATCATACTCTTGCAGGCTGCAACACCTATAGCCACAAGTTACAAGTTATCTCATCTCATTCTTAAAGGTATTCCCATAATTAAGGTTTAATAATTTAATTATAGCACGCCATTATTGATTGATCACCAAGAAATAATTTCCTACTCAAAAATGGAACATAGACCTTACAGAGTTCTTGTGTTTCGAAGCTAATCTAGGTAATTTGTGGATTATGACGCTACAAGAACCAAGGAACAAATTGGGAAATACCTGGAGTAATGAAACTTCCTATTTATAGAACCTTGCTTATTCGTAATTGCTCTGCACTTTGATGACTTCCTATCGTTTTCATACCATTCTTAGGCATGCGCATGTTGTTCATGACGTGACTTCTTCAGTTAATTGCTAGATAATCTTAAGGTTGCTTTCATTCTGAAAGTATGTCTTTATATCCCTAAATACGTGTCTCCAGATTCATGCAAAGTAAAACCTCAAACAAGGATCTGGATTACTAGTGGAAACAAAATTGATGAGCTTGCAATTTAGACAATGACTAAACTACTGTTATAATCAAACCAAAAGCAAAACAACATAGAAGTAGAATCTTCACCCACCAAAATTTAGAAGCTTATACTAATCAAAATTTATTTTATTGTGCAATGAAATTTAAAAGGCAATGGCAGATAAAGACCACCTGAGTCAAAATTTACAAAAACTATATTCTTTTCCATTAAACACTAAACAAGCATTAACAGATAAATCATAGGAATGGTAAGAACGAACCTGGTAAGTTTGAGGGTTCATATCTGCAGTCAACTGCCTAACTAGAGCAGCTAGACATTAACAGATAAGAGACCTAAGTAATACAATTCTAAGTTCTCATAATGATTACCGAAAGAAAGAGGGAGATCGAAGTTGCAGAGGTTGCTGGACAATGTCTACACCGTCACTGGAGTCCAGTAAAAATTACCAGAGAGCAACACCGAGCCTGGACTGAATGCCCCCAATAAAAAAAACTGCATTTTATTGAACGTGCAATCAGAAATGAGAATGAAATCGGAAATGAGGATAATCGGAAATGAG